ACAAGTATAAATAATTGTGACATTCATGATAAAAGCAAGGAGATAGTGATGAATAGCAAGTCAAAACTTTGAGTGCATTTTGTCCAAAGGCATTCGTCTTTGGATAAAATGAACATGAAACCGCCACTAGGTTGTGCCAAAATGACTACATGTTGTGGAGGTTGAACTAACTGTTGTGCAAAGTTTAATTCTGTTGTGAGAAATGCACCAAAGCAACTGTGAAAAACTGTAACACAGAGATGAATTTTTTTTATTCATCATGAGAACTTTAAGGTGCAGATTGTGAAGATGTTCAAATGCGTGTCTCACGCTCATTGTTGGAAGCCCTGACATCTGTGTTGAACTGTGTAGAGGTTTGGTCAACAGCTATAACACATGAGGAGTGTGTGTGTGTGTGTGTGTGTGTGTGTGTGTGTGTGTGTGTGTGTGTGTGTGTGTGTGTGTGTGTGTGTGTGTGTGTGTGTGTGTGTGTGTGTGTGTGTGTGTGTGTGTGTGTGTGTGTGTGTGTGTTGCATCTGACAACACTGCGTTGGACACACAATCAGAGCCACCCTGAGCTATCAAGTACAACTGACAGGTTTGAGTATACTTGAAACATCAGCAGTCTTTAGCGGCGTTCAGCACAGGAGACATTTTGATGGGATGTGCTGACTATGATGCTGCATGGTGGTGAGTTTTGTAGCATAGTTCACAGGAAGAAGGTTGCAGGTTTGAATCACAGGTGCAGGTTTTCAGCCTGGAGCTAGAATGATCTCCTCATGCATGACTACAGAACACAACCATGTAGATCAGATTAACTCTAAATTGTCCCTAGGGAGTGTGTGATGGGTTGTTCATCTATCTGGAAGACCTGTCCAAGATGTCCCCTTCTTCTCACCTGATGATTGCTGGGAGGTGCACCTGCTCCCAGAGGCAGATATGAAACTGGGTAAACTCATGCATGCTAGCCTTTCATCGATCTTGCTTTAATGGGACCCTGACACGTTGCTTTCATTTGCTAAATCTTGAAGAAGTTTTGGAGAAAGCTAATCTGTGTTCACATCTGAAAGCTCCTGCTGGTCAGCATTTCTGCTCTGCAAACCCAACAGCAGAACTTTCCACTAACTTCTCACTTTCACAACAGCTCTTCGGAGGAAAGTTTTGCTTTGGTTCTCTTTACACAGCTCAGTGTTCTGATTAATCCTTGTAACGTCCAAAAGGGTCCATTTTCACCTATATATTGATCAACATAATAGTCTTTCATCTACAGCATAAATCCACTTTCTGTTTGGCCTTCCAGAACCAGAAGGTTCTGTTCAGCACAAGTAGACATTGCATGAAGACAAAACATTTAAACAAACATTCTCTCCCAAGGTCCTACACTCTCTGGATGAATGCCAGACGTCAACATTCTTCACTCTGAACAACGGAAATTTCCATGACTTTTACAACTCATAAGCTTACAATAATGATGTGATGAATGAACAAGATGTTTAAATGAAATGTTGAATGACCTGTGCTTAAATCAATGAATTTAAAATGAATATTGTTCTTACAATGATCCATTTATATCACAAATCAGTACGTGTTTGATCTAACAAGTGAATCATTGTTTACACTCATGCACATTACAATAAGATACACATTAAGGATAAGAATATTGTATCTGAAGGAAGGCGTGGCTTTCTGTGGGATGTTGGTAAAAACTCAGAAACGTGTCAAATTCTGATTTGCCAAACTTGGCCAGAAATCATAACAAAGTACTTTATTAAAACAGGATTTACTTCCTGATTAATTCAGTTTCCAGCTGAGCCCCGATTCGTCCAAATTGGGAAAGAAGCCTCCTTTGAAACAAACTCCTTTGACCTTAAGTCAAAACCTTTCTGTGACGCTGCAAGTGATTACAGACACAACAGCTCTTTTCAGAGCTACTTCAACTCTCAGACATCCACCTTGGACACCTAATCTGCAGACACGGGTTGCATCTCATGGCTGGGGAAGCTGAACTCAGAGGAAGCTACTAATCTCTGAATATTGTGGTTTCGACGTCCGGTGACCTCGCCACTTTGATCGCAAACCTCCAGACCGCCGAGATCAACTCATACAAGATACAGGAAGTCTTCCCTACCTCATGCCATCACATTGTACATTAGCAACAACTAAACCTGGTTCATGTCACAGTTATAGTCACAATGTTTATCATGTTTTATAAAACTCCCCCCCCCCCCTTTTTTTTTTTAAATATATATATATATTGCTATTGTTTTTTTAACTGTATAACTATGTGTAATGCTGCTGCTACACTGCAATTTCCTAGCTTGGGATTAATAAAGTACATCTATCTATCTATCTATCTATCTATCTATCATCTATCTATCTATCTATCTATCTATCTATCTATCTTTCTTTCTTTCTTTCTTTCTCCTCTTTATTAAAAGCAACAACAAACAAACCACAATGCTTTCATGAAATGATTGTCTCATCTAGGAATAAACTGTGAATTAAGGTAAAAATACTTGATTCCTAAACCTAAAAGCAGACCATAGCATCTTTAGAGGCAACAGTTATTAAAAAGCAACAGTGATAATCAGTAATGAGTCTCTCACATATTTGTTGAGGACTTTTGTCCCTCTTTTCTTTCCATAATTATTTAAACTCGGCTACATTGGAGGTCTTCCTGCATCATTTGCCTGTTTAATGTCAAAGGTCAGACATGCATCAGGAGTTTTTTTTTTTGATAGACAGTTGAATTTATGTTTCATTCAATAAAAGCTAGTGGTTCAAGTCTTGAAGCAGCAAAGCAATCTCAGACCATCACACCACCACCACCATGCTTAACTGTATGATGTTTCTGAAGTGCTGCTTTCACATTTGTTTGGTCAGAAATAAGTCCACAGAATATCTTTCTCAAATGTTAGAAGAATCTTTGGTCATCAGAGGGTTTGGTCTCCAAAACTGTTACTACAAGCTGCATCAGTAAAGCTAAGCAATACAAAACTTTGTGCCATCTGCTGGCAGAAAATAGGAGAACAGTGTTGTTCTATTTTTTGAAAGCAGAGGGCGCAAATTCCCAATACTTTTAAGGCAACATTACAAAGTGTTTAAACTTTTTTTCTTCCTTTTTATATGTTGATGGTTTAGAAGTATTTAGAGGAAGTGTTTCTACTCGGGAACATTTTTAACTTTACAAATCCAGTATCTTCTTCTCCTTCTACTCCTCCTCCTCCATCGTTTCTTCAATATTAAAATTCCCAAGAGGACAAAAAGAAAGATTAAGATTTTTAGGGCTCCATAAAGGTAAAGGTAAAAGGCTAAAAATAATACAGGTGCAGTAACAGCATTCAGACACTGGAGAGCAGCACCTCCCCATCTTCCCTTCTTTTCTAAAGACTGTTGGAAACAAGTGTTTTTATTTTCTACCAGCAGATGGCGCCAAATCCCTGTTCTTCTGTTTGGAATAATTTAGAGGAAGTGTTTTTACTTTGACCTCCACACAAAATACAACCATCGTGTTTAACACTGTTATAAAATACAATTTTAGTTTAATAAGGTAAAAAGACTGTTAGAATGGGTTTCCCTGATGCAAGTGCCAAAATGTCATTAGTGTTTTATTTTGCAGGATTTTACAGGAAGTGTTCCTACAAAGTATTCAGAGATCTCTAATACAGTTCCCTCTTCCCGTTTTCCTCCTCTCCTTTCCTTCCTTAATATTGATATTCCCAAAGATTTTTCAGCTATATTGAGAGGAGGCTAAAATATTCTTATCAACGGTTTACCAGAACTAAAATGTAGCTCCAGCTTCTCGCCACTTGAGGGAGTCAATTCCCTTTCTTGCTCAGTTAAACTCAGTTTGTAGCACTTTAACAGAGATGAATTATTTTTATTCAGCACGAGAACTTTAAGGTTCAGATTGTGAAGATATTTAAATATGTGTCTCATGCTCATTGTTGGAAGCCCTGCCTTTATTTTACTGTGTATTTAACATTAGATTTGACCAGTGGTGTACTGTAGCTGATGTCTTAAAAATTCTCACATTATGCAATGAAAGTAAGTGAGATCGGACTCAGCATAACTTTTATTTGGAGTGTCGGCACTGACTATCCCTCGCATTTTCTCCTTTAATCTAGCTGGGAACACTGGTAAAACAGGAACATCTGTCAGATCAGCAGCAAATGAAGAAACTTCTAATTAGGACAGCAAAGGCAAATCTGACAGGACTGCTGAGGATGAATGCTCAATGTTTTACAGAAAACATTTTTCCACACAAGAAGATAAATAAAAATTCAAACGTATATACAGCACATCACCCTAGTGCAAAAACAGACACTCCGACACGGACTTGTCCTAAAACATGACACCAGTAAAAAGCCTAAACAAAAACCTACATGAACCAAGCAGGGGTGGATGAGACGCTAAAAAACTCAAAACTATATGAGAAGCAACAGCATGATGATGTCATCAGTACCCTTTTTGTCTTCTCTGAAGGTACCATTAATGGGAGTCTTTAAACAGATGTCGGGACTTGCTTCGGTAAAAGTGACACTCAAGACTGTGCAAACACTGGTTTACATAATGACACAAAATGATCAATAACATAAAAAGAACTTAGATCAAATCTTGAACAAGGTAACAGGAAAGTACCACTGTGGCTGTGGGTCAGTCTTTACACAACCAGTAGCTAAAACAGAAGGAACATGTAAATATCCATTCTAAAGCAGGGCCATGGCTGCATAACACACAAATACACAAAGGAACAATTTATGGACATGTAAGAACAAAATAGCCCTTTTAATATAACATTCATCAGCAATGGGACTCCTTTTGGTTTCTGAAATAAGGAAATGCAGAACTCATGTTTTTACCTAGATTTACAATTGTCAAATATTCTGTACACACACACACACACACACACACACACACACACACACACACACACACACACACACACACACACACACACACACACACACACACACACACACACACACACACACACACACACACACACACACACACACACACACACACACACACACACACACACACACACACACACACACACACACACACACACACACACACACACACACACACACACACACACACACACACACACACACACACACACACACACACTTTGTATCTTAAATGGTTAAAAGCATGTTTAAAGCATTACTTCCTAAAGCCCAAGAGGGACCATATTTATATTATAGTTACAACTTTACAAGCATGTTTTGGAAAAGCACGAGCAAGCAGGCCAAAAATAAAATAAAATCAATTAAAGCAAAAGACACTAATCAGAGATAAAATGTGTTTACGGCTAAAAGAGACCCTTTGGCTCCAGTGATTACTGTCTACTCTCATAAGACACATTGGCTGTTGATTTAAACCTGCACTGGTTTTCTGGTACACAGTGGAAAGGTTTCCCAGTACATTCAACAAATACCATCACAAAATTGGTATCAGTCATCTAATCCAGCTCAACCATAAAGCAAATGCTTCAGCTTGTATGAATAATTAGCAGAGCGTGACGAATACTTAGCCCACACAGTTAGCCTAGCTTTACAGAGTACTGCAACTTTTAAGCTGCAGATATTTCTGACCATCCCTGCAGAAAAAATATCTAAGCGGCTGCATCTACAACGGTTCAAACAACAACAGCAGTGTTAACATCCATCAATATCTGAAGTAGCCATTTTACAGCTCACATGGTTAGAAGCCTGAGATTTAGGAGGGCTAAAGGAGTTTATTTTTTACAGCACGATTGTCTGTTCAGGCATGAGGTCTAGATGAGGACTGTGTAGAGGTTTGGTCAACAGCATATAACACATGAGGAGTGTGTGTGCGCGTTGCATCTGACAACACTTGTGTTGGACACACAATCAGAGCCACCCTGAGCTATCAAGTACAACTGACAGGATTCTTCTCATAAACTTCTAACACCCTTCTCTGCTGGAGCACAACCTTCACTACAGATTGCTGCTCCAGTCTGAATAACAGGAGTTAAAGGACAGAGTCCTACGATAGTGCAAACGCTGCTGCTGTTCTGTAGACACGCCCCCTTTTTGATTGTTTCAGGGGGTGAAGACAGCTTGAAGTGATTTTACTAGAGCCATTTTCTAAGAGCAGGCAGGTTTTTGTCCACCCAGCGTTGGTTCAGTCTGATGGTTTCCAAGGCTTCCTGCACGCTCCTCATCTGAGAGCCGCGCTCATTCAGACCAGAGAAGAAAGTCTGCACCTGTAAAACACACACAAGTATTATCATTTGCCCCCAAAACAAACACAGGCTTTAGAATACAGTGAAGCATGAAAAACCGACCTGATTAAGGCGCGTCTGTGTGGAGAACTGGGAGGTGGTAGATGTGATGACTCTCCCAATGGCATAAGAACCAACGGGAAACCTGTAGGCCGGAATGAAGATCTCTAATGAAGCACTAATCTTCCGAACTTACAGTAAATGAAACATAAAATAGGTGTTTACTTTTCTATGAGGCGGTCCCAGTTCACTTGTATAAAATCCCAAGCAAACAAATGGCCTGCGAAGCTGCGACACACGGTGCTGATGATCAGAGGCAGCTCCTGTGTCTGAATCTTGTCCCCCTTCAGACCCTCGCTGAGAATCCTGGTGAAATCAGAATCACACTTAGAGAATTGTTGGTACGACTTACATGAGCTAAATCAAGTCTGGATATTTAAAAGTGTAAATTGAAGCAAAATACCAAGCCTTAATCAAATTTTAAATAAATTAATAAAATGTGGAGGATTTTACGTTTTATGGGAACAATCAGCACTCACCGTGCAATAAGGCGTGTGTGCTGAGTAGATGCAAGGCCCTGAAGCATTTTTCTCTTCTCTGAATCATAAGTAGAGTGCTCGTACATGGAGAGTAAAGTGAACCAGTCGTCGTCCGACTGAGCAGCCACTGTGAAAACGACCGCCTGCAGATCGCCTGGAATTCTGCAAAAACAAACATGAAAAAGAAAAACATTCAGATCAGAACTCCCTCGTTTCTTTGAAAGCGTCCCTTTGTGAACAAATATCATCAGGTTTATTTACCTGATGGTGTTATTCTGAGCATAATCTCTGAACATGGCTTTGGCGTGTTGAGTACAATTATCTATGTTGAGATTGCAGGCGGTCATGAGGAGGGCTGAGCGCAGCTCCTGTCTGGACACACTCTCCTCCTCTCCCCATGTTTGTTTGTTCATCAGAGACCCAAAACAACTCTTTATATAAGCCTGTTGTATTAAAACGGAAATAAAACACACTTAGAACTTTCCCCATTAAAGACAACAATAAATAGCTTTAAGATCTAAATTCATGTGATTTTTATCCGTTATTAACATAGCAGTGTATCCTAATACTTACTTACAGTACATTACAAACTACTTCCATATGCAGCATAAGTGTGTGTGTGTGTGTGTATTTAGAATACCTTCATGCGAGCTGCAAGATCAAACTCCTGTCTTTTATCGAGCAGCCCGTGGATGCTGTTGAGCTGCAGCAGAGCTTCTTTCACAG